ACAACAACAACAACAACAATTTTAAAAATCACCAGAAAGTAACATGATGTTACAGCCCTAGTTCTGTCATATACTGGGGTTAGGGGATGGATGCTAGGTGAGGCACCTGCTGAAAGATAGGTGGCAGCAGTGGGACTTAGCAACTCATTATCCCAAATCAGGACATGAACAGTGGAGATAAAGAACCTGAGAGCTTCTGGGAAAGGAGATTTGAAATCTGTAGTCATCTACTCTAAAATTCAGCTGTTCCACTAATTAACTATATCCTCTTTAGCTTTTTGCATTAAGTTTGGATCAGTGTGAATAACTGTGTTCTTCCTGCATCTCTAAATAACATTTGAGTTTTTATTATTTGGATTTTGGAATAGTTACATAGCTTCCAGTTACAAAATCATTGCCCCCCACCATTATTAGCTCAAGTTTAAAGGAAGGCCTCTGAAAATGCTACAGCTGTGCCATTTGTGTTTCTGCAGTCCTATTTAAAAACAGCTCTTCATGCTACTTAGATACAACTACTACTACCTTCTCCTTATTTTTCCAGCCCATATAGCCAATCAGATTTAGTGTTACTGAATTAAAACAAAGCTCATTCATAGGGAACACTGTGTTTTCTTAATAGCCATTAAAAAAGCATCCTCAGCTTGTGGTAACTTCATAAACACATCCAAGCATGTTGGAGAAAGTACAGTAGTGAAAGTGAATTTAATAATAATTTATTATAATAAGGCAGATACACATAATGTTCATAGCCCTTACCTTCTTACAGAGACACTTGTCCACAAGTTTTATTTACATTTTTACTTTAATATATTTTTTACATTAATACTATTTTAAATTTAAATAATATGCAATCAATGTTATCTATACATTTGGGTTCTTTCTTCTCATTTTAAGAAAAGAAACATAAGTCTTAAGGTAATGAACATGATGTCATGCTTTCCTCATTATGGGTGTTTCTAATCCTTCTGATCTCGTTTTTGCTGACTAGTGAAATTGCCTTAAAATGTTGTCCTAAACTACATCTATTGAAGAACATAATGTCTCTACTCCTAATGATAGATTGTGATTTCCTTTCTGCAAGCTTTCATTTCTGGTAATTGTGGGATTGCCATTTTTTCCCCCAGCTATACTATAATTGCATAAAATCAATAGTTTTCAGCATGACAGTGCCTACATCTGCATTGTAAAAATAAATACAAGCAGTTGTAGAAGGTTTAGTGTCCAGCTCAATGTTTGCCTTGTATATTGTCCGATTTTCTCTACATTGTCTGTCATTTGATTTAAATAATTCTTTTCTAGAGATGCTGTGCACTGCAACCTTGTATATGTTTACTCAGCAATAAATCTCACCGTGATCAGTGGGACTTACTCCTAGATAACTGTATAAAACATTACAGCATTTAATTTTATATGTGAACATTATTATTATTGTTATTATTTACCTGAAGCCTTAACTGCTTCAAGCCTTAGTACCGTTACATGCAAAGGGCAGTTGGAACATTTATTTATTTTTTGCATGCTTTATTCTTCTTTTGATTTAGTTCTGGTTTTCACATTGCAATATAGGTTGTAATATGGTAAAGTTAATGTTACAACTGCCATTGAAATTGTTGATGATTCATGCCTTTCTAATTTAGGACATGTTTTGGTTTACAGCCAAACAAAGTAATTTTGAAGTCCGTTTTCATTATATTTATTGATTCCAGTAATTCAATCATATATATATCTGCTCAGACACCCCACTGTTTCTGAATGTAATGGGACTACGCCAGAAAAGCGAGGATAGGATTGCTGCATTCAAAAAGCAGTTTAAGCATAAAGAAAAATGAAACATAATGTTCTTCAGTACTTTGAGAAAAACGCCCATTAAACTCTTAGCATCCACCCCAGTTATTAGAAAGCCTTCCAGTTAAAGTATCAGATTGCATCAGAAATCTGAACACAGAGATACAATGAATGCTTTTTCCTTCTTTCCTTCTGATTAAGGAGCTTCCCGAATTTACAGTTTTTAAGCATAGCTTATTGCAGAAAATTCACAGACAAAGGGTTACATTACCTCGGCAATGGAAGAGGATGTCACAAGCTCATCTACTTGGATATTTCAGGCTGCCTCCAGGTTTGCATTTCAGTTTTCTTTTTCATACTGTAGGGAAAGTAATCCTCTAGAGGACTGACGTTACCCAGCACTCATGGTATACTGAAGGAGTACAAGCCCTGCTGCAAACTTGAGCGGTTTTAAATTACATTACCACAGCTGCTTTAATTTTCCTGAGGAATAGCACTATAGGCTTTTGGCTCACTTCCAGTGGGTGTCTTAACTATAAACAAGTCCTTATTGCATAATGAAAGCATGGCTTATTTTGTGGGGCGGACTTAAAACAAGCATGCTTTTTGCTGCCTTACTTCCATGTATACAGTTTGAAATTCCAGATACGCAGAGCTTAACAATCCTCGAGGGTGCTGGACTCAGGGAACGACAAAATGAAATTCGTTGGGGGAGATGGGATTTCCTGAAAAGGAAAACCAACGATCAATGAGCTTGCTGATACCCTTGCTTCATCAAAGACTAGCCTGTGGTACAGTATAGTAACTTTCTAACAGAAAGAGACAATGAGATGCTAAACTGGGTACTTCAGGAAGAAGCATTGGCAAATGCTCTCCTCATCCCCAAATGCCAATATATGTTCAAAGCAGGTTGATTTTGCTCAAGTGATTCCAGAGGGGTTGGGAAGCTCGTTCCTTTGGAACAATAGCCTATACCCTGTGCAATAATCCTTCAGGTTTTCCCAACTTCATTGTCAAATGATAGGCATAGTTGATAGCCAGTCACCCTTCTTCTTGGAGTGATAGACGTTCTTGCTTTGACACATTTCTGGGAAATGATGATTAATGCTGAATTATGGGATGATTTGTCTCACAGAGAGACCCCATAATGAACTGCATAACCCTCATTGGGAGCTCAATTATCACACGCATGTCCTTTATTGAAATGAAAGGTGCACTTCTCCCAATATCTATTTAATAAACTTATATAACACAACTAGTAATTATGCCCAGGCCAACGTGCAATGGTTTAGGGGGCAGAGGACCACACTTAAAGAGACACATTTCTTTTCCTACAGGAAATAGACCTAGAATCTCTTTTTTGGTCCAAAGTTGTACCTTATGTTCTTGTCATCCTCTGCATTTGAAGAGGTCTTTCACAAGATGTCTTCTTACATTGGAGAGTTGCAGATCTATTTTATGGCAGTAGCAGAGAAAAGTCCCTATTGGGGCTGCATGCTTTGGAACCATCATTGACTTTTTTCAATGTTTCATTCGTTTTTCTTAAGAAATTTGAATGGAAGTTTTAAATCATTCCGAGGGGTGGGGAGCAGCATAATGTTGCAGCCTCTACCAGAGAATACTATAACTCCAAGTCTGGTAAAATCACAATTGCAAATGATTTCCAGGGAACTGATTCAGATAGTTCAGTAGAAAACTCAGCTGATTTTTTAAAGCATTATCATTTCAATATATTTTTATGACACAGAAGAAGAAGCCAGACTGCTTTTTCAGCTAGGATCAAAGCAGCATTTCAAGGTGGGAAGGTGAGAGAAGAAGAGCTTTAATGACTGCTATAGTGCATACTGTAGTGATTGTTTATAGAAAGAGCTGCATCGTCCAACAGATGGGGAGCATTTTCCCCCTAATGATTTAGCATCTTATAGTTTCATCCAAGCATCCTCCAGAAATAAATCATTGATGAAGACAAGCTTTATCTTGTCATAGCAATGGCTGAGCGATGTTCTAAGCCACTATAAATCATTAGTGAAGAAATGGCCAGAGTCAGCTAGTAATGTTAAGTCAGCAACTCTGTCTGCTCTATACTTCTGATCTGGCAAGAAAACTGCAGGGACTTGACATATATAGATTCCTTCCTCACCGGTTCCTTGGTCTTTGCCACAGTCGTCAGTTCTGTTTTTGCAAAGCTGTCTTCGGTTTGCCCTACCTCCCCCAGAAGCCCTGGGGTGCAAGAGAATCCAAAACAGTTGACACACTGAACATCTGTAGCTATGTTTTATTGTTCTTAAATAACTGGACAAAGAAACCGCAAATTACTGTTCTTAATAGTTTATGATTTTTTTAGTGTGTGATAAACTGCTGATTTGACAGCAATAGTTTTTGTATATTATTCTATGACAAAAAGTACATAAACCATTAAGAATAATCAACGTAATAATAGTAGTAATCATAATAACATCACAATAACTTTCAGTGGTTCCTCAGGTAATTTCCTAGCTTATAAAAGTATATTTGGTAAAATATTAATCAAGTAAGGTGTTTGGGTCTAGTGCTTTGTAGATCTCAGCAGGAATGGCATCCTGTCCTGTTGCTCTATTTGAGTTCATCTGTGAGATCTCTTTCTTGATCTCATCAGTAGAAGGAAGCAAATCCAGGGCATCCAAGACTGGCAGCTGAGGAATCTGCTGTAAGACATAATGTTCAGTTGTGGGCAGCCTATTGAATAGGTTGGAAAAGTGTTCAGCCCAGCAGTTTTTTAGTCCTTCCTGGTCTTTGATCAGGCTCGACCCATCAGATGACAGCAAGGGGGGAGCACCCTGATTTAGAAGGACCATAAACTGACTTTATGGCACTGAAGAAGTATCTGGTGGCAAGAAGTGTCTGCGTAGCGTTGCACCTGCTCAGCCTTTCTCTGCTACCACTCATCCTGCACTCCTCATAGTTCCAGCTATACTTTGGACTACAGGTGCTTGACTTGTCTTTCTTTGAGATACATGATGGGTCGGTCATTCTGCCAGTCTGCGTAGGCCTTGTTCTTGGCCTGGAGGGCTGCTGAAATGGTCTTGTGGTTTTCATGAAACCAGTCTTGATGCGCCCGGGTTTTCAGTCTGAGTATAGTTGTTGCACTCTGCGTGATGATGTCTTTAAACTGTGTCCACTTTTCAGAACAGGTTCCTACAAGCAGTAAATTTCCAGAGGGTCTTTCATTAAGTACATCTTGGAAACATTGGGCTTGGCCTGGTTCCTGCAGTCTGCCGACGTTAAATGACTTTCTGACAGTCCTTGATTGCTTATGACGTAAAGGGGTTATGTGCAGGTTGAGGACCAACTGGACCAGCCTGTGATCTGTCCAGCACTCAGCACCTTGCATGGATTGGGTGATTGTGACATCTTTAAGGTCGTGCTGATGTACTATGACATAGTCAAGTAGGTGCTAGTATTTGGACCTGGGATGCATCCAGATAGTTTTGTACTCGTTTGCAAGTCTGAACATCATGTTAGTGATGCACGGTTGTGGTCGGCACATTTGCTCAGAAGCAGCAGGCCATTGCTATTTAGTTTTCTCACCTCATGTCTCCTGAGGACTCCATTCAGTTGTCACTGTCTGTCCCCACCCTAGTGTTGAAGTTGCCTAGAATGACAAGTTTGTCAGTGGCGGGGGCTGTTCGAGTAATCTGATCCAGGTCCTCGTAGAAACCTTCCTTGTCTTCATCTGGACTCATGAGAGTTGGTGCAAAGGCACTGACAATGGTGATATACCAGGACTTGCTGAGAGGAAAGCAGAACTTCATAATGCATTCATTTATTCCAGCGGGTAGAGTAGATATGTGTTTCAGCAGAGCAGTTTTGATTGCAGTACCTACTCCGTGAGTCCTGTTGTCAGTCTATGGTTTCCCTTTCCAAAAGAACGTATATCCACTCACTGCTTCCTGTAATGAACCTCTGTCTGCCAGCCTGGTCTCACTGAGTGAAGCAATGTCAATGCTATAATGGCAAAGTTCAGCTGTTATGAGTGCTGTTCGTCTTTCAGGCGTTGACACCTTATCTCTATCCAGCAAGGTGTGGATGTTACAGGCTGCGAAAATGAGTTTTCTTTGATTCATTTTTCTTGATGCTCAACCGCTAAGGAGATGATCTGCCAACTGCAGTTAGTTAGCCAGATGTTGTGGGGTAGGTAAGGTTTAAGGTACCTTTTCTAACCCCCTCCATCATGCGAGGGTGAGCAGTGCTATCCTAGAAGGGCTGCCTAGTCGCCCTGGATGCTTCCAGACATTTCTGCTGCCCCAGGTACTGAGACGAATGACCACTGGTCCAAGGGCCACCCACGTGCAGGTTTGTGACTACAACTGCCAGCAGGCATCTGCACCTGTTGCTTCATCACTCCCCCATCGCTGCAGGGCTCAATGAATTAGGTTTGGACTGAGATGATTTGCAGACGAGTTGTAGATGAAGTTGAACTGCACAACAGAAACCTGTGTGTGATGGAGTTTTAAGTGGAACAGCCGATGCCCAGCGGTAGTCCCACTCTCTTGGCATAAGAGACCTTAATCCAGTGGCACGGAGAACCATTACAGCTGGAGACCTCTCCTGCTGCAGTGGATGACCAGGACATCTTAGTGTCTTGTCATGCTCTTAGCACTCCACAGTGCCTGCTGGGCCTGCCTTCTTAACTGTTGGACCGTTGATCAGCCTCCTCTGCTCAATCTGCCAGAGCCAGACTTCACACGCTGGGATCGATAAATCCCCTGCCTCACTGAGAATTGAAGGCCCATTGGCTACCCTCACCTGGTTTGGCCCGTCTGCCAAGATGGTTTGCCAGGATGTGGCCGCTACACATGTTACAGCTACTTGGAGCCACAGGTGAGAGCTGAGAGCCAGGTGGGCATTGTCAGAGAAATTACATTTCAGCCAGCGAGCTTTTGGCATTTTGTCTGAGAGCAGAATTGCAAGGCTTACATGGGGCTAGTCTGGAATCCCTTGGATATTTACTTGTTATCACAGGGAAATCAGTGAAAGTTCAGCTTTCACATAGTTTGAGATAATGAAGAGTAGGGTCAGGAGTCAACTCTACATAGCTTGAATGATTGCTTTTTTTATGCATGGCTGTAACATCCTGCTTTGCAGATAAGTGAAGAATTCCTTTTATTGGTTCTTTCAACTCTGACTTTACTTTGGTGGAAAGGAAAAACAGTATGTGCCCTTTTCTTTCCAATCAGTGCTGAAATAACATTAAGCAAAATTGGCTTAAGTAGAATATAATTGCTTTCTTACTCTTCAGAGCAACCTCCAATCCAGAGTCAGAATTGTTCTTTTTAATATATAGGCAACTAGCTAACTAACTAACACTGCCAAGCCTAAGACATTGATTTAAATATTTTCTTCCATAGATACACACTCTTCATGCTATTCCACTTCAGGAATTCAAAGTTATATAGAAGAGGGACTAATTAATAGTAAGCAAGAGAAGTCAAGGCATGAGATCAGAGAAAGGAATGGGAATTATAGTTAACTCTAGTTTACACAAATAGCATTCACTAAACCTGTGCATATCTTTCAAACCGGGTAAACCATCCTTGCTTCCACAGTTCTGTACATTGCTTCATATATTACCTTATGTTCTCTCAACTTTTCTTCTCTCTCCTTTTGGGGAATTCATCAACTTGCTCTTCTCCCTTCGTCTACACCCATTGACATGTTTTGCAGTTCAATCCTCACTCATGTTCTCTATATGACCAAACAATATCAACACACCTTTTTAGTACTGGTCATTCACATTTGTGTTCAGTCCACATTCATTCAGCATCCATTTACACCATTTTTCAACAATCTCAGAGCTTTTACAACTTTGCCTTCATAAAATTTTACTTGAACACTGACATGTATAGAATTAGTTTTAATTCCACTCTTTAATTCCATCATATCACTATGATTCTTATATATACTGCTCTCAAATACTCCTTCCAGTATTCATTCACTGCAGTTTCCTCCCAAATATTTAATAATCATTTTGTTTTTTAATTTCATCTCTCTGTTGGAGGCGTCTTGTTTAGCCCTCTTCACCCACATCTGAAACATTTTTTTAAAAAGTCCATCAAAATGTCCCTGCCTACTCCCTGATTCTTTGAATTTTATCTGTCTTTTGCTGTCTTTGCATTCTTTGCAACTATTTTTTCTGTCTGTTTATACTGTACAATATGGGGGCCATTTGTAGGGAGTATGTATGTGAGCCCTGGTTAATTAAAACTAATGATTAATGATTCCCTAGTTTTTAATTGGACTTGTTCTTTTTGTTGTAAGTAGTGCAGTGTTCAAGCCATATAAAATCAATAAAGAAACAAGTAACTTTCTTTCATCCTCCTCCCCCCCCCAGTAATTATTATAACAAGCATTTCTCTCAGACAACCTTGTTTACTTCTTCATCCCACCAAACATCCTTTTTTATACTTCTCATCAACATAACTCCACATATTTGTATGGCACTCCGTAACATAATCATTTTCACTCTTTCGAAGCAGCTTCCACATCCTTTTTCCTTACAGCTACTTTTTTCATTTATTCAGTTGGAAGATTTGTCTGTATTCTAGTGCTTTTTCATACAGAAATCAGACTTGCTTTGTCTGCAATAATTCTTTCACTCAATTTCTTTCACTTCTTTCATTTTCTTCTGTCAACTTTTTCCCAAGATCCACCATGATATTACCAACTCCCCCTTTCTCCTGTACTCTTAACCTCTCATTGACTTTGTATTCTTCACCAACTTCTTCAGTCTTTCCTCATAAACAGTCAATAATGTTTTTAAAGTTATATGCATTCCTTTTCCATGTGCCCATATGAAAAGACTTATGCTTAACCAGTGTACTCAAAACAACATTCATTTGTTTTGTTTCCAGTTTAATCTACGTAAAAACATACGCTCTTCTCCTTTATATTCATGCACATCCAGTGGGGCAAAAAAGTATTTAGTCAGCCACCAATTGTGCAAGTTCTCCCACTTAAAAAGATAAGAGAGCCTGTAATTTTCATCATAGGTATACCTCAACTATGAGAGACAAAATGGGGGAAAAAATCCAGAAAATCACATTGTCTGATTTTTAAAGAATTACTGGCTGTAA